AACAAAAAAACAAAACAAAAATCCTCACCACTAGACCAATAAACAACATTCTCATCAATGGAGAAAAGAGTGAAGTTGTCAAGGACTTCATTCTTCTTGGATCAACTATCAACACTCATGGAAGCAGCAGTCAAGTGATCAAATGACATACTGCATTAGGCAAATCTGCTGCACAAGACCTTTTTAAAGTGTTGAAGAGCAAAGATGTCAGCTTGAGGACTAAGGGGCACCTGACCCAAGCCATGGTGTTTTCAATAACCTCATATGCATGGGAAAGCTTGACAGTGAATAAGGAAGACCTTAGAAGAATTGATGTCTTTGAGTTACGGTGTTGGAGGAGAATATTGAAAGTGCCATGGGCTGCCAAAAGAACCAACAGTCCGTTTTGGAAGAGGAGTGCTCCTTAGAGGCCAAGATGGTCAAATGTCATCTCTCATACTTTGGACATATTGTCAGGAGGGACCAGTCTCTGGAGAAGGATATCATGTTTGTTAAGGTGGAGGGTCAGAGGAAAAGAGGAAGACCTCCAACGAGATGGATTGGCAAAGTGGCAGCATCAATGGACTCAAGCGTGGCCAACAGTAGTGAGGTTGGCCCAGAGTCGGGTAGTGTTTCATTTTTTTGTGTATAAGGTCGCTATGGGTCAGTACTGACTCAATGGCACCTAACAACCACAACAACAAAGCAACCCTTTGGTTAAAACACAAAAAAATGTCAGGCAATAAATATTATACCAAAAACCTGTGCTACTATATATCACCACATTCAATGGACAGAAAATGGAATCTTTAAAATTCATAAGCAGTAAAACCCAAACCTATGGCTGTCAAGTCAAGTCTAGCTTGCAGTGACCATATAGTTACCCTATGGGACATAGCAGAACTGTACTATAGTGTTTCTAAGGCTGTAATCTTTAAGAAAGTTGGAAGCCACATCTTTCTCCAATGAAGCACCTGGTGGGTTCCAACTGCCAACCTTCGGTTACCGACACTTACCCACTGTGCCACCAGGGCTCCTTTCATGAGCAATTTGTTGCTGTTGTTAAGCGCTGTCAAGTCGGCTCTGAGTCACAGCAACCCTGTACAGGGTCTATGAGGAGCGGCTGGTGGGTGTGAACCAACAACCTTGTGGTTTGCAGACCAGTGCATCTCCTACAGCACCATACCTGGAATCCTCATAAGTAATATGTGAACTCAAATTTAGAGTGAAAGTCTCATACTAAAAGTGTAGCAGTCAGAGAGGATAGAGAACCATGATAAGAGCTCTGGTAGCGTAGTGGTTACGAATCGGGCTGCGAACCTTAAGGCCAACAGTTCGAAACTACCAGCTGCTCCACGGGAGAAAGATGAGGCGTTCTGCTCCCGTAAAGATTTACAGCCTTGGAAACCCTGTACAGGGTCGCTATGGGTCACTTAATAACAACAACAAAAGCAATGAGCCTCAAGGTTGGGCTTTGAGGTGTTAATGACCTCAAGGGAAGAGAAGATATGGCTTTGGACCTTCACAAAGGAAACTAGAACTGTGATTCTACATAATGTTGGGAATCAAAAACGACTGTTACATAAGTAAAAAGGAACTGAAATGCTCCTCTAATGCAGAGAAGCAGCAGAGACCAGTGCTGCCTTACTTGGGTTGAAATTCAAGCTGTAAGTTATGAATGTTACAGATGTAAATCCAACATAAAACATTAGCAAACAGTATCCAATAAAATGAATAGACATCTATTGTGACCAGGAAGGATTTATCCTGAAAACAACAAGAGAAATTTCTTTTAATATAATTTAAATCCTTAATATATCAAAGTAGGTATATTTGAGGGGTATTTGATGAGGATATTTAATTGAAAACCTAAAAGCAATGAATATAGTTAACAATACACTCCTATAAGGTCAGAAAGATGCTATCATTCTTTCTGTTCAATATTACAGCGATGGACTTTACCAGTGAAACAAGACAAGAGAAATAAATTATTGGGATTGAAAGACATAAGGTGCTATCATTCATATCTTCCACAAATACAGAAAAACCTGAGGGGATCTATAGACAAAATGTTAAGACTAACAAGTGTAGCAAGTTCTCTGGATGAAAAAAATCAATAAAAATAAAATAATTCCTAGATATCACCAACAATCAATTAGAAAATGTACTTTAGAAAATCTCATTGACACAGGCAACAAAACTAATGGCAACCTAAATATAAACCTAACAAAAGATATGTAAGATCATTATGGAAAAATAATGATAAAACTTGATTGAGATTTCTTTATCATTCACTTTATTACTAGTGTTTGTGAGAGCTTAGCTATAAATCTTACCTGTAAAGGAATACTCCGCATGGAAGCCAACATGTTCTATATGCTGATTGGTGACAAAGTGTATCCAGACCTGAGGGTAAGGTATGACCAATGGCATTGTAGGTTTTGAAGGGCCACAAAGTCTCCATATCAGAGGTCCATTAGCATCTCCTATACAAAATAGCATAATAGCAAGTGCTAATATTATATAGCTTTTGAAAGAAATTGTTCGTATTATTTACTAAGCAGTCCAGTGCTTATCCTACAGCACCACACCAGGACTCCATTACTGACCTTACAAAAACAATGAAGTATAGTATTTGAACTGTCTCTAAGACTGAGAACATAAAGCCAAGACTGCATTTAACTGATTGGAATTTGAGACACAACGCTTCTGCTTGATTCTATACGACAGTGGTTTTGAAACAGGTGAACACAATTAGGGTTTATCAGAACCATCTGGAGAACATTTTCAAACTTCAACATCCATTCCCTCCATTTTGTCTAGACTCATGTACTTCAGCAAGCTACGGTAATGCTCTTGCTGAGGCGCTTGGTCTATGACCACACCTTTTATCAAATCTCCTTGATTCTCAAAGGCAGTCAGCACTGATTTCTATAGCTGCCCTGGAACAGCCTCACCAACTAGATACATTCAGTTCTGAGGCTTTCACTCTCCTGTTCTTTAAATGTTGGCAAAACATGAAACTCATTGAACCTTTTTCAGTACAGGTGATATTATTTCCCTCTCTATTTATTTACAGTGTGTCAAAGTAATGGTGGGTGCAATGTCACAGATAACCTAAGCCTTGACTGTAGGAAAACACTCAAATGGATTCATTATTCATGAACATGGATTTTTACAAATTCTTAGGAGAATTATGGTTTACCAAGTATATCTAAATAATTTTCTATCATAAAAACTTGACTGCTTTTAGGATAATTCTCCAAATACCTTCCATGTGCTTCTCCATATGGTATACTGCAAAACTTCCTTAAATTTCTAAGGTCTTTTTGTGAATCCTGTAAGCACAAGGAAACTGCTGATATATCCTGACTATGCTAAGTTCCAGTCCTCTAATAAAGGGTTTGAATAGAAGATGGTTGAAGGGTACCACCTGTACTCATTACGAGGGCAGAGAGGCAAATGGGAAACTCTTATGGGTAAATCTCACGTACTATGAAACCCATCCTTTGAGACAAAGGACCTAGTTGTAAATGGATCTGTCACAGATACATGTTTTCCTCATCTGGGCACAGAATTACAACTTTATTTGCTCTTTAGGATCTTATGCATTTGTATTACAGCTATTTGACTTCCTTCCTTGTTGACTGTTTACAGGCATAAGAAGAATGTTGTAGGGAAACTGAAGAAATTGTTCCTTGATTGAACTCACCCGCACGAAACTCAAGGGCATCAAATTGGCAGTCTTGGTGACTTTCTAGATGAAAATTCTCAAAATAAATGTAAATGGATGAATTTCCCTGGTTTGGATTACTGAGACTCCATTCACAGTTTAGGTTACTTGCATAGTTTCTAAATCCATTATAGCCAGGAGATGTAAAGTTTCCTTGAGGGAAATTTGTAAGAGACCCGCCGCACACTAAAAAAACAAAAGATAACAGAAGACAGTAAGATTCATGCCATCCAGAACAGAAGATATAGACAATGCAATAACAGTAAAGACAATAAAACTACCAACATAAGTCCTGGTGTGGCGCTGTGGGCTAATGCGTCAGACTGCAAAGTCTTTTGAACTACAAGGTTGGTGGTTCAAGCTCACCAGTGGCTCCTCGGAAATGCTACACAGGGTCGCTATGGGTCAGAATTGACTTGACGGCACTTCACAACAACAACAACCAACAAAATTGGTTGGGTATGTTTGTCTAGATGAAGCCAGTCTTGTGGCTAAAGGGTTGGCTAATGTATATAAACTTTGGAAAACATTTCTGTGGGTTTATAAAGGAAAGATATACAAAAATGAACAACTTCTTTAGTCTCCTAAAAGTGTAGATAAGGTGGGTGGATTTTATGTGTCAATACTTCCTAATTTGTGCCTGTCATTCATGGATATTTAATTTAGAGAAACATTCAAATATAATGGCTGCAGATCTTTAGGCTTCCGGTTAGAAAATTTCCACTCCACCCAAGAATTTAATTGAATTAAACAGAATATGATCACATTAGAATACCAATTAATTTGCTCTTTTACCAAGGGAACAAATGTTTGTTTTATTAATGAAGTAACTTAAATTTTAAAAACTATTCCTTAATTTAAAAACCATTAGGTAATAGCACCAATTCAGAAAGTAAAGGGTATTTACAGTCAGAGGCCATTTGTTGCTGTTGTTGTTGCCAAGAGCTGTCAAGTTGGTCCCAACTCATAGCAACCCTGTATAGGGTTTCCAAGGAGTGGCTGGTGGGCTTGAACCACCGATCTTGAGATTCAAACTGACTTTGCACTCCAGCGCATTACTACACCTGCAGTACCACACCAGGACTCCAAATATTTACATAGAAAGTAGTAAAAGAGTATTTTGATTTTATGGTGCTCAAAATGTTTATGGACAAATTTTACTTACTAAACTTTAAAACAACTACCTGTTCATTACTATTTATTATACATTTACATGGTCCAGAAATTAAGCGGGGGGAAAAGTACATCTATAGGTAGAGAATTCAATTCTGGGTTGACAATTATGTTTTTCTCAACTAGCTGCTCTACAATTCTCTATGTTATTGTTGTTAAGTGCCATCGAGTTGGTTCTGACCCATAGCGACCCTGAACAGTGTTTCCGAGGCTATAAATCTTTACAGGAGCAGAAAGTCTCATCTATCTCCCGTGGAACAGCTGGTAGTTTCAAACTGTTGACCTTGCGGTTCGCAGCCTGATTCGTAACCACATTTCTCTATACCACATGTGAAATCCCTTCCCCCACTGATTTCATAGCGGTAGATGACCAACGAACCAATGAAATCTGTCTCTCTGATTAAGTAGATGACCAACAAACGAATGAAATCTGTCTCTCTGATTAAAACAGTTATTCCCTATGAGTAAGTTGTCCTTGAAGAGGTACACAGTCTTTTTCAGCACAAAGAAATCCACCTGGAACTGACGACCAGCCAACTACAATGGTGGCACTATGGAACTGAGCTGGGAAGCTCATCCAATAGCATTTTTAACGTTTCAAATACACAAAAGCAGTTTTCTTTTTGAAATTCTCAATTGTTTTCTGACTGGACTGTGTTTTCCATCTGGTTACATATATTTATTTTATTCAGAGTATACCAGATGTAATGTTTATCACTAAAAGGGAAATAAAGAGGTTCTGGTGGTGTGGTCAGTCATTGCGGGACACCTTTAGTGCATCAGATTACATAAGGTGGATTTATAACCTCCTCCCTTACCTGCATCTTCACTGGATGTATAGGAAGCAATGAAGCCCCCATATGGCCTGGATCCATCAGTGAAAAAAATGACTTTCATTGTATTTCCTGAAGATTTGATCTGGTCACTTACATTCACACTACTACACAGTTCCTCTAATTGGGGTGAATTATTTCTAATGCCATTGATTACCTGTTGAGAAAATAGTTTAACCTTTAGACACACAGTCTTATTGAATATTTCCTAACAGGTGATATTCAAAGCTCAGACCCACTTCTTTCTAAGGAAACCTTGAGTTAAAATGAATTGCTTAACAATATATGCTTCTATCCCAGGGCTGCAAGCCATAGAAGTTTCTCTGCGCATATCTTGTGGCCTCTGGGTCATTTCACTAAAGTAAAAGTATTCCAGTAATGTCCACCTGCCAAGCAGTGACAAATGAAAAACTGCTGTACACTTTGCAACTGGAAACCGTGTTCTAAATGTAAAGCAGATCTTCCAGTATGCATACATTTTCATTCCCAGAGTCTACTGATGGGCAGTTTTTTATTAACATTGCATTAGGACCTTTGCTATTTAGAAAGAGGTTTAAATACTGATCTCTGATCATTTAAAATATATAATAATTCAAGTATCCAAAATAGTTTGAAAAGTCATTCAAAAGTCAATCTCATTATAGATAGAATAGTTCTTCCCTAATTATGGATTTAAAACAATTTTCTTCCCAATTTGATTATTTTTTAAAAATGAACTAGAATACTGTTGATTTCAAAACAACAGTAATTAATTATGCACACCATTGTAATAACTGGCAAAGTGTTATTCTACTATTGTATACAACCAAGGTGAATTTCAACATGCCTGATTTCTACAGGATTAAAAAAAAAAAAAATCCAGAAGTAACTAAATTATTGATTGATGGATGCTTCTGTTTCTAAAAAGGATTTGAATGTCTCATGATTGGAGATAATCACTTAGACTATGCCACAAACAGCTCTGCAGAAGGGGGATGGAGTAAATAATTAAAGGTATCCCCTTCTATCATTTACTATAATTAGTCATTAATTTAGCCATGTGGGGACTTCTGGTTTAAAGTGTTTCCCAGCTCTTGGCCCCAGGCACAGCATTTCCTGTCCTGTACAGAGTACTGACAAGATGCTAGACTGTGCTAACCACCCCACTCAGACTATTTTATCTATCAGCACAATCCTCTCGGGTATATAAGATTATTCTTGTTTTCCAGACACAGACACTAGCATTCACTAAAACTCTTTTTTACAATTTTTTTTTGTAACCAATTTCCATAAATTCACAGAGTTAGTAATAGAAATGATATTTAAACCATCCTGCTGATTCGAATCCATGAAACAATGCAAAAAAGGATCAGAAAATGATAAATATTTCAATGAAACTCAAAATAGGAATGGGCAATACATTGCCAGGTTGAGAAGGGTTATTAGTAACTAGAAGGCTAATGGAACATAGTGGGAATCATGATCAATGGCCCTTATCCCTGTTCTTAGATCTGCCTCCGCTTACAGTAACAAGGACTGAAAATTGTGCAGTCATTCATTTGCCACCTGGAATTCTACTTTCAGAAGTAATCAGAGTTTTATTCGTACTCTCATCATCCACTCCCTTTTGTATTCAAAAAAATACAACTTCCAGCAAACAAGAGGTTAGAAAGTGAGTATATAAAACTCAGTCCTAACCCATTGCCTTCTGGATGATTCGAATTCAAAACTACTTCATAGGACAGAGTAGAACTGCTCCTTCGGGTTTATGAGACTGTAGATCTTCACTGGATCAGACAGTATTATCTTTCTCCCTTGGAAGACAAGTGGCTTTGAACCACCAACCTTGCAGTTAAGCAGTCCAATACTTAAAACCCACTGTGCCAGCAGAATGACTTTGAGACTAGGTATAAGCTCTAAAATTTGTGATGAGCAGTAACAAAATCAGACATAGGTCTTATTGTAGTGCACGCTGAGTGGTATCGTTTTTCATCTTCTCCATCTGTGCAGTTAACGAGTTAGACAGCTGGGTTTGAAGGAATTTTATGATCAGTCCAGCTGAATAAGGAATTAGACTACAAGTAGTGCATTTACAGCTGCCCTAGCTCCATTTGTAGATACTAGGAAGTTTTCGTATACTTCTTTGTTCATTAGTTAAAAGTTCTCAAGTTGAGAATGGGCAAAGAGCAATCCACATACCCTTGTTTGGAACCAAGTTAAAAGGAAACAAAACTATCTTTGCACCTATGAAGACATATTTCAGAGAAAATATATTCAAGAGGGAATGAAACTAACTTTGAACCTATGAAAATATATTTCAGATAATGTGGACATAATCTTGAAGAAAATAATTCTGAAACTAATTCCTTACTGTAGTTATTGATCCTCTGCCCTCAAAAAAGGACTGTTGACATGACATTTGTAGGGTCCCCAATTAAATGTTCCAGACCCAATTCAGTCACCACTTATAAGACCTGCAGGTTGATATGGCCAGTCTTGCATATGAAGCTGCAAGTCAATGTTTCAGTATTTCATTCTTAAGGATGAATGACTGCCCTAGGAATTCAGGGAAATGTGTAATGGAAAAGGCAGAGACCAGAGTAAATAACTAGAAAACAGGAATCTGAAAAAAACTGAGCACAACAGAAGTAACATAAAACTTCAAAGTTATAATTAATATGGAGTACTGGTGTGGCACTGTAGGTTAAGCACTGGACTGCTAACCACAAAGTCAGTGGTTCAAATCCACCAGCCACTCCTCGGAATTCTATACAGGGTTGCTATGAATTGGAAACTAGCACTTACCAACAACAACATGATTAGTATATTCAAAGATATACCCATAAAATATTCATAAATGTTATATGGGTAGAATATTTACAGAATGAGAGAGTTCTTGGAAACTAAAAATAGAATCATTAAAAAAAAATAAGAGAAATCATAAGATAAATTTTAAATCTCTCAAAGGAAAAAGATAATATAAACAGGAAAAAAGCACGAAAATCTGAGGATCAAAAGAGGATCTCTAATATTCCATCAAAAGGGATTTCAGGGAGAGAATATGAGGGAGGATATTATGAAACCATAAGAGAAGAAAATATCTCAGATTTAAGGAGGTGAGATTCCCAATTGAATGCACTGCATGGTACCTAGGACAATGGATGAAATAGATCCTTGAGACACTTTAGAGTGAGTGTCAGTGATAATAACATGATCCTAAATCTTGCAGAGTAAGACACACTCATGACAAATGACAAGGAATAGAGCAACACTGGAGATTGAGAAAATAATGTCTTAAAAATTCACAGGCATAAACCTGGTGTGGCACTGTGAGTTAATGTGCTGGACTGGCGAGTTGGTTTGAACCCCAGGGCCAGCAGTTCAAGCTCACCGGCTGCTCCTCAGAAACCCTATATAAGTCGCTATGGGTCAGAACCGACTCAAGGGCACGTAACAACAACAATAAAAACAATGTGTTTATCTTAGACCTGTATGTGAAGTCAAAATACCAACAAAGAATGAGGGTAAAAAAATACCAATTTCCAATACACATAATTCTCAAACAAATCTCCACCTTTTTAAGGGAGCTTCAAGAGCGTAAGCCTTACCAAGAAAAAGAAATTCATCAAGAATGGCATCAGAAAGCCAAGAATCCAGCCCAGAGGAGGGATGAAAGGAGTTCCAGACTTGCTGGTGAAGGGAAATCCTGAACTGGCAGCTGACATTCGCTTGGAGCTGATGGACACAGACTCAAGGAACGGTACTGCTAAAGAAAATAAACGGAACTAATAGGTGGGCGTGATTATACAAGGTGACGCTGTATGCCTTGGGTGGAAAGTGTGAGGAAGAACTAGTGATAAATGCATAGGAAATTAAGAACATGTGAAAATGACATAATTATTATTTCTTGGTAAAACAACAGCAAATGTTGCCATATACTACTATAGGGTGTTACTGAATTCACTGTGATGAATATTTAGAAAATCAGTGATGTAAACACTAAATAACAATTTAAACTAAGTAGTGGTGTAAGTATTAGTGAAGAAGTTGGGGGAAGGGGTAAACGATGATTATCCCTGTGTGCATTTGTGGTGTTGTAGAGGTGATTCAGAGCTCAATCCTCATGTCCCATTGTTGTTGTTAAGTGCCATTTAGTGGGTTCCAATCCATAGCAACCCTGTATAGGGTTTCCAAGGTGCAGCTGGTGAGCTTGAACCTCTGGCCTGGTGGCTCAAACAGACTTTGCAGTCTAGCGCATTAACCCACAGCACCACACTATGTCCCATCCCAGCGGGATGTCAATGGATAATGTCTTGAAGTCAAAAACCAAGATTATTATTTTGAAATAATGACAAATATCAGGAAAAAGAGCTAAAAGAGTCAGAAATGAATGTTTTTGACATCTAGGATTCAATGATGGAGAAAGGATAGGTAAGTCAGAATTCTGATTTTGTTGTTGCTACTGTGTTTAATTTTATTATTTGACTTCTAAAACTATGTATATTTCATATTCTCTTTCCTGTAGAACATGTGACTTCACTACTAAAATTCCTACTAATCAGTATATTCAATATGAACTAAATTATGTAAGCAATGTCAAAGATATAAAACAACTGTTAGTATCTACATCAAAATTTCAGTAAAATTATATAGAATTCCAAGTTCTTTTTTTATTTTCTGAATTTTCCAAATAGTGTTCAGTGAACATTCATTATATTTCTTATGAAAAAAACAGACTGAGTATATAAATGCATTTATACCACATGATTACAGCTACATAAAAGTATGCATGTCAAGAAAAGGTATCAAAATATCCATTTTATAGTGGGAGTAATTAGTTTCTTTATATACTTCCTCTTTGACTATGTATTTCATTCAATAATATGTATTTTAAAAGTTCCTTTAAAATAAACAAGTTTAGTACAAGGTATCCTGACTCTCAAATAAAATATACAAGTTTCCAATATCTGATCAAAGACAACATGTGTGCATGTGTGTATTAACAGTATACTTTCACAATTATGGAGCTCATATTCTTTCTTTGGGTAAGAGAAGCCAAGAAGGTTAAGGGCACGTCTCACTTTATTTGAGGTTGAAAGTATCGAAGGCAGGCAGCCAAGGTCTCCCATGACCTCAGGACCTCTGACAGAGAATGAAAACTAAGTAACAGAACTATCCATTTGTTTAAAACTTTTGATGGTGACTTGTACATGACTCTGGTTCCATTCAGCTATGCAATGCCCGTTGGTTTTGCTTTTCTATGTCTGTCTCATTTTAGCATGTGCAATGTCATTCAGTCTTAAAATTTATCCTAGCTATGACCTTGATGTATATAAATAACAATTGGTAAGAGTTATTAAAACTGCTTTGAAAATTATTTAAGCAGTTTATTGTAATTTTTGTTCTATCTAAACAACCTAGAATTTGTCTGAAACATAGATGCATGAATGGGAACATTCCTGATCCAGTTTTCTGACTATGATTTACGGGTCAATAAACTCCATAAACAACGGATATAATTCTTCTGACTGAACAGAATACTTACTGTCACACGCTCATTGTTACAGGATGGATGAGCTTCCAGTCTCAGGTTGTTAAAAGTAAGAGTGATCTGCCTTCCTTCCTGCACAGTGATTCTCCACTCACAGATCCGGCTGTGAGGATTTGGGTTCGGATAATTGGGAGAAGCAAATGTTCCAGTAGGACCCTGTAGTTCCCCACCACACTCTGAAGGAGAAAAAAAAAAAAAAAAATCATGAAAATTTCCAACCAAACCAAAATGACCCCATGCATAAATAATGTCCTCAAAATTAAAGTTTTGTGTTTTTATCCTGCTAGACAAAATCATTGCCCTTCTTTATTTGCTACCTGAGGACATTTAGAGAATATCTGTATTCACTTCTAGCTCTATTAATACTTAATCTTTGCTCCCATGGATGATAGCTGCTGGCAACATTCTAATTATCATCATATTCTAAGAAATATGAAAGTTCAACCTTAATTGCCAGAGGAAAAAACCAAAAGGCTAAAATAATTACCTGTTTTTTTCCTAACAAAATACTTATTTCAGCTAAATTTGCCAGGGCATTTGGACTGCAAATTCTGAAAGTATATAGGGCCAGTTGATTGGCTTTCCTAAGAGCGGTATTGTCAAATAACTCCATTCCCTCATTATATACCTCGTGGCACTGGTTACATTCCTTTGATTATAACTTATTATAGTAATTTTTCATTCACTGGTGTGACAAATTGAATAATGCCTGCCTTTCCACTAAACAATGTTTGGTTTTTCTAACTGTTATTGTAACACTGGTGCCTGGCAGAATATCTATCTAATATAAGTGCTCAGTAATATATTATTCTATATTATTTTGAGTGAATCAATGAACTTACCTTCTATGCTAGATTCAAACCTCAATCTGAATCCTGAGGCAGTAACTGAGCCATCTGTGACAAACCTGACCAAAGCAACATTGCCAGAAGTGTCCATGCTATCAGGAATGCTGTTTCCACAGAATCTGCCCAATTTATTTCCTGTAGGAGTCAAATAATTAAATAGGCATATATACAGGTGATCCATTCAACCTCTATTTGAGGTGTTCTACACTTACAAAGAAAATAATACAAATCAAGACCCTTTCCATGAAAAAAAATAGTAACTTCTGTCAAGAAAAGCAAGACAACATGAATTAAAATGAACAATTTCAAATATTCATATGAATAAGTGTAACAACAACAACATCATCAAATAATAATTAGGGCAAAGGCATTCGCACACAATGACAAAATTAAGGAAATAATCTGAGAAAACAGAATGATATGTGTTCATAATATTATTGCTAGGATACATTATTCATTCCTCTCCTTGCCTTTCAGAATTACCTTAAAAATTGCATATGACACTGGAGGGACCAGCATGAAGAGAATGCTTTCTCAATTCAGTATTCTAACAGTGTGGTCTCCAGAATAAGCTAACTATCGACCCCCTCGGGCTATGGACATCAATTGGTTATAGGTAGGAATCAGGACAAAAAGAGTTGCTGCTTCCCAGAGCTCACTGGTTTACACTTCTCTGCAGAAGCGACATGCTTTTTGTTTGTTTTTAGCCTTTCTTGAAAGTTAGGAAACTTCAGCGGCAGAATGAATGCATGTGAAAATAAACATAGACATATTTCACTAACCAATTGTATAGTTTCCCCAGATTTCCACAAAGTCTTTTTCACAGTTGGAGGAATTCTGAAGGTTGAAGTCTTCAAAATAGATGGTTAAATAGTGTCCCGAGAGACCCTGGAGACGCCACTCACAGAATAAATGGTCTCTATAAGGAAGTGTTGGATACCCAATGCTTTCTATGACTCCAGTTTGCCCTGTCACTCTTCCTCCACACAGGGCTGAAAAAATATTTAAAAAATTAAAAAGCAATACTCTGTTACAGACTTTTTTTTTATGTCACCAGTAAATTTAAAGTGTTTAGATGCCAAGTGAATACATGCTAAACTTTTAAAACTGAAATCATCTGATTAGTCTCTCGTATTTGAAACATGCACTCGATATAAAGAAAAAAGACTCAAGCTCAACCCAGTGATGGGAAACGGACGACTGAAGACTGTAGAGTGACATGTTCTGAAATGTTGCATTAATTCTCGTGAGACATTATGTAAGACCTATCAGTGACAAGTAGGTTTCATTTCAAGAAACAGCTGCTTAGTGTGCTGTGTTGAGAAGAATTCTAAAAATGGTGTCTAAGTTTAGCTGAAGGGGTGCCATGGCTGATTAGTGATGTCTGCAATTTCTAGTTTAACTATCAAATAATTGTCCAACTGTAGTAACTGGTATCTTCAGGACTAGAAAACTATGATTCAAGTATTTCTTATCAGCTGGATGCAATAGCTACATTGAATTATATGTAATATACCTCAGGATATAAAATGACCTACAGTATTGTTTGGAGTCCTGGTGTGGCGTTGTGGGTTAATGCACCAGACTGCAAAGCCGTTTGAATGCAAGGTCGGTGGTTCAAACTCACCAGATGCTCCCCAGAAACTCTATACAGGGTCACTATGGGTTGGAATTAACTCGGTGGCACTTAACAACAACATCAACAACAGTATCGGTTAAGTATTGCTACAATTAGGCTTTTGAGTTTTTGCTGCAATAAATAAATTTCGTCAATGTGATAGTTAAGGTTTTGAGTCAATTTGCCTGGGTCTGAATGCTCAGTGGTTCAACATTTAAGAGGTAGCAAAGTAGCTCTGTTAGCATAGTGGTTACGAATCGGGCTGTGAACCTTAAGGTCAGCAGTTCGAAACTACCAGCCGCTCCGCGGGAGAAAGATGAGGCTTTCTGCTCCCATAAAGATTTACAGCCTTGGGAACCCTGTACCGGGTCGCTATGGGTCGGAACCGACTCCACGGCACTTAACAACAACAACAATCCCCCGTGATGAGATCTAATACAATGCAATCACTCCCTTGATGTGATCTGATGTGATCAGCCCTTATCTGATGTTATTATCCTATGTGTTGTAAATTCTTACTTCTATAAAGTAAAATGCAATCTAGAGGATTAGGTTGTATTGAGAGTCACTATCTTTTGAGATATAAAAGGAGAGAGAATTGAGCAGAAAAGAAAGGACCTATTGTACCACCAAGAAGAAAGAATGGAGTGTGTCCTTTGGGCCTGGGGTCTGTGCACTGTGAAGCTCCTAAATGCAGAGAAAGACCTATACCAAGATACACGGAGATCGCCAAGAAAATCTAAGCCTACAGATGCTGACAGAAGACCAAGACATTTTCCCAGAGCCAAGCTATGAATTCAGACTTCTAGTCTCCTAAATTGTGGAAGAATAAATTTCCGTTTGTTAAAAGCCATCCACAAAGAGCCTTGGTAGCATAGTGGGTTACGACTTGGGCTGCTAACCACAAGGTCAGTAGTTCATGTCTTCCAGCTAATATATGGGAGAAAGTTTGAAGTTTTCTGTGCTTGTAAATACTGACAGCCTCAGAAACCCAATATAGGGTCATTGGAAGTCAGAAGTGCCAGTGAACAACTACTGCCAAACCATCTACTTGTGGTATTTCTGTTATAGCAGCACTAGAGAACGAAGACAGTCACTGCTCAATTTAGACCTTGCCGATACTAAACTCTGTGTCATTGTGGACCATACTGTAGTCAATTTTCAGTGTGCTTATTTTTTTGGTAGTTTTAAAACTCAAAACACTAAGAAGACGTATTTGTTTTTATCAGTGACCAAGCTGGCCCAAGAGACCTGGGAGAGGAGGGAAGCTGTTGTCCCATTAGTGCTGAGGAATTTATAGTCACTTTTAAGATTTTGTGATTATAAGCACTTACATTCCTTATTTACCCATTCCTGAGGAGCTTTGGTGGAGTCTTGGTGTGGCGCTGTGGGTTAATGCGCCAGACTGCAAAGCCATTTGAAATGCAAGGTCAGTGGTTCAAGCTCACCAGCTGCTCCTCGGAAACCCTATACAGGATCGCTGTGGGTTGGAACTGACTCAGCGGCACTTAACAACAACAAGGAACTTTGGCAGCGTAACAAATTGAGCTGCAAACCTCAAAGTAAGCAGTTCAAAACTACCAGCTGTTCTACAGGAGAAAGATGAGGTTTTCTGCTTCCGTAAAGATTTACAGTCTTGGAAGCCCTGTACAGGGTCACTATGAGTTAGAACCAACTGCATTGCACATAACCACCACCACCACCACCACCACCATAGATTACAAGCTGGTCAGCAGCTTCAATCTACCAGCTGTACCCCAGGAGAAAGATGAGGCTTTATGCTCCCATAAAGATTTAAGGCTTCAGAAACCCTACACAGGCTCATTATAAGTCGGAACCAACTCAGTGTCACACAACCACCACCGTCTTTGTCAAAATACTTATTAGAAAGATGTGTTTAAAAAAGAAAAAGTATGCTTTAGTTTTTCAAAATGTCTCAACACAGTCATTTGATCATTATTTCCTATTGAATATAAACGTGTTGTTACCTATGGAGTACTTAGCCTTGAATCCAACATGAGTGGGGCTGTTCTCAGACCGGAACCTCATGTACAGGACTTCTTCTGAAGACAACTGAGTGCTAGGCAAAGACGTCCCACAAAACGTGGAAAGTATTGGCGCACTGGAATCAGCTCCATTCCGCAACTCAAGATAATTGGAAGCACAGCTAAAATGGGGGAAATTCTGTTTAGTTTATAAGGCCTATGATTTAGAAATATTTTGATAATAAAGGTATCACTGACTTTCTTTGAGGACATTATTAAATCACTCCTGTAGCATCAGATACTATGATAGTCAGTTTAAGAAAAAAACATGCGGTGTGATATTTTTCAGAATAGCAATCCTCCTAGTTAGTAGCTCAAAATGTCCAAATTTACATGTGCCACATGAAGGATATTTACTTGCCTTCCATATTCTGTATTAGTTTTACAAATATAAAAGTCTTCTCAATTTTCCTTCTAGCAATTAGATAATAAGCTACAAGTACTGTGTTTTCCATGATAATCTGATATGCTTATCACACACAGATGAACTCTTGACATTTCTGCACCCAGGGTCTGGGTGTCCATAAAAGTGAAAAAATATTGATCCAATTATTTCTGAGTAGGTCAGTTAGATCATGAATAGTGAGTAGAAACATAGTATTACATCAGATACACAGAATGGTAAGGAAAATCTCAGTATCCAAGTTTTATACTATACGTGTCTTTGTGCAATTGCATACAAACTTTTAAGGAGTCCTGATGGCATGGTGGGTTAAACATTGGGTTGCTAACAAAGGCCACCACCATCAACTACTCTGCAAGAGAAAGATGAGGCTGTCTGCTCCCATGAAGGTTTACATCCTTGGAAATTCTATAGTGTTGTTATTCTCTGTCCTATAGGTTTGCTATGTGACGGAATCTACTCAATGGCAGTGGGTTTTGTTTGGTTTTATACACACTTTTGCTAAATGAAAGAGAAAGCAAGTGACTTTTCTTCAGTCTATGTAATTCCCTTGTGTTCAACATGCCAAGACATGTTTGTAATCTGTGGTCTGTAATCCTTTTAGAATTTTTATTTTACAAAAATAAAATAATTTAAAACTCAATGACATCAAGATAATCCTGATGCACCTCAACCCTACAAGACAGAGTAGAACTGCCGTATAGGTTTTCCATGGATGTGAGTTTATATGGAAGTAGATTGCCACATCTTTCTCCCTCAGAGCAGCTGGTGGGTTCCAAACATCAACCTTTTAGTTCGCAGTCCAGCACTTCACCACTGTGCCACCAGACCTCTCTTATTACATGTTGTTGTTAAGTGCCATCTAGTCAGTTCTGACTCATAGTGACCCTGTATCAGGTTTCTGAGAAGCAGCTGGTGAGCTTGAACCACCAACCTTGGAGTTTAAATCGACCTTGCAGTCCAGTGCATTAACCCACAGGGCCACTCCAAGACTCTACTATTACATAGTAATTGGGAAATTGTACTGTGCTTGATTTAATCTGACACTGGTGATCCTTGATGTCAAAGCACACAAATTCCCATTTGTTAAATATATATATATATAATCATTTATGAAAATGAGTATGAGACTGGGAATCTACCAGAGACATTATACTTTCCATGTAGCAGGAAAATGGATAACATAAATAATAAGCAGCCATCTTCACATCTCTGGAAGATGTATCTAGGGTCACCAGGGACAACATCTGTGTACTTAATCTCTCATCTGGTGAGAAAGTGACCAACAGACAATGTTTCTCAGGTTTAAGGCATTTAGCATTTTCTTTCATTTCTACGTTTCCTACCTGGTATGTAGGCCTGAGAAAAGAAGGCATGAATTGTTCTGAGTCATGAAAGCTAAAAAGTAGTGCCTCTAGGTAAGAGAAAAATGAAAGGGAAGTAACCTACTTGGGTGTTGCTTCAATATTGAATTGTTCTTCAAACTGCAGCTGTATGAGCTTTCCGGGAGGAGCGGAGAGGATCCAAATGCAGTCGGCATGTTGGGGGTAATTGTCAGGGTGGTTGGGGGAGGTCACATACCCATCAGAATCAGCATCATGGATATAAATATTGCCCCCACAAGCTGTCAGGAATCACAGTTAAATTAATCTACAATCTGGTGAAGGAAGACACAGTCAGCTGACACTATCTTTTTTTTTTTTTTTTTTAAATCAATTTATCTACATTTCCAGTCTCAGTTTCCTCTTATCTTGAATTATTCCTATTTTATTCTTAAGTTAATAAATTCTGAATTTGTTATTGAGGGAGCCATCATCAGATATGTTGTTGTTGTTAAGTGCCGTCGAGTCGGTTCCGACCCATAGCGACCCTGTACAGGGTTTCCGAGGGTGTAAATCTTTACGGGAGTAGAAAGCCTCATCTTTCTCCCGCGGAGCGGCTGGTAGTTTCGAACCGCTGACCTTAAGGTTCACAGCCCGATTCGTAACCACTACGCTACCATCAGATATATCACTCTTTAATTTGTCATAGGATCAATGATGGGACTTCAATAATTTCATGAACAAATGGAATGCAAAGAGAATGAAATTGTCCCACAAAGTCTTCAAAGCCCCCTGGTACTTCTTATTGGATGTTTCACTTGTCTTTAAAGGCTACAAAATAATTATGGTACACAATCCATGCAGAATATCTTGGAAATATTAACATGTACTTTGGTAAACATTCAAGGATCCCAGTTCAACAGAATGAGGCAGAGTCTTGTTCTTTAAATGTTTCAAAGGCTAAGCAGATTCCAACACGTGTGTAGGCATTTGTTCATTATGTTTCTGCCAATGTAGATACATTTGAAGCACAGGAGATGAATGGCACTAGACAATGTGTTAGTCATTTTTTTTGTGGAGGATAAAGAAGCCTTTATATTTATTTCAAAATAGCAAAATATTATACAACTACTTTTCCTTTATTAATAAACATTCATTTGAAATCTGAACAAACAAATCATATATACTTACAATACCAATGTAATGAATCTGTCCAATAACAGCCTCATAGAAGAAGCAGAGCATTTATAAATAGATCCTAAATGTATCTGGACTACCAGTAAATGCTGACATTAAACATATAAACCAAGACTGAGTCTACCATCAATAATATAAAAAAGCAGAGATCTGTGGGGGTGGGCCTAAGTCTATTCACTGGACACAGGCTTTGTTACTCTGATAATGCTTCAGTACCTACTCAGGATGAAGCTAGGGAAGGATGAGAGGTTAGCATCCTGTATATAATAGTGTTCGCAAAAGCAGTATGTTCTGGGAAGCGACAGAGTGCATTCCCTATACTCATGGAACCTACTCAAGTCATGATACAATCTTTTGTGTAAATTAATGGAGCCATTTTGTTTCTCCTTTCCCACAAAATGAAGAAATGTAGCTGACATTTTAAACTCATATTTTGCATAGGTATAATAGAATATATGACTTCTTTTACTGTGAACTTAACAACAGCAGCAAAAAAAAAATCCCTGGAAATCTTAACAACCAAACCATAGTTCAGCTTAATTAGTAAAAACATCCAATTTGAGCTTTATGCTCTTTTAAGAACTATCTGTATGGGATGATAGTTACAACAGCAACTCTAAGATTAGAAGGAACGTTAGGGGACAGTAGTTTGTGTTAGTGGAGGAGGAACAGCTCAGAAAAGGAGGTAAGAATGGTTACACAGCTGAAAGGATGTTGAATGTACCTGTAAAGATGGTTGAATTGGTGTATGGTTTGCTATGTATATTTTTGACAACAACAATAAGATAAAAAATGTACTTTGAGACATATTCAGGAATCTGGGATTAAGGTCATTGAATATCCTGAAACCCATATCAAATGAATCTTTTTTCAGACAAGCAAAGATTTATTATTGCCATTGCTTTCTACTGATCCTACTCTTTGCCCTTGAAGCGATGCTTATTTTCTTATTTACTTAATTAAGCATTATACAAAAACGAATGTCACAAAATTAAATCATTACAGTGGAATTAAATATAATTACAATCAAATGTAGTTAAGTAATGGTAATTAAGTAAAGATCACTGCAATAATATATAATTAAATGGGTAATAATAAAATCAGAGGATAATGTGCTCATTTAAAAGGAAGTATACAAATGATTACAAAACAATTACCATTCTTACCATGTTTCTATAAGTGAATATGACTTACACTTATACATTGTATACTGGAAAGGTCGAAGGAATTTCAGGCGATCATTAAGAATAGTTCAATTCATAATCATGGGGAATTTTACTATGTTCACTCACTATATATATATATCCTTGGAAAAGTCTTAAGTCTCATTGTACTAATTTGTAAAGTGGAAATATTGATACTTTCCTTAAAAATAATCATAATGAGACATTAAACTGTCAAGAAATAGGAGGTAGCTATTCACGGTCAGTAGTTCGAAACTACCAGCTGTTCTGCAGGAGAAAGATGAGGCTTTCTGCTCCTGTAAAGATTTACAACCTCAGAAACCCTACGCAGGGTCACTATGAGTCAGAAGCGACTCCACGGCACATAACAACAACCTTATTAATGGAGTTCTGGTGTGATGGGTTAATATGCTGGACTGCAAAGTCGGTTTGAAATGCAAGTTTGGCAGTTCAAGCTCACCAGCTGCTCCTCAGAAACCCTATATAGGGTCACTATGGGTCAAAGCTGACTCGAAGGCACTTAACAACCACAACATTCTTATTTACATTCTTACTTTTAGTTCAGAAAGGAAAACTTTACATATGTCCTCCCTAATCTATTCAGAATGCCACATTTTTCTCCTGAGGACTAGCTGTTGGGTTTGAATTGCTGACTTACTGGTTAGCAGCCAAATACTTACCCACTGTGCCACTGGGTCTTCATTTAAAGGGGAAAAACAATTGCAGTATAACACTTTAGTCTCAGTGAAAATACTTACCTAAACTCTTTGCTTCATATTTGACCTTAAATCCTTGTCCTCCACTGCTATTATCAGAAATAAACTGAGCAAACATTTGATTATCTGAGGTGAATATGGTAGATGAAGGATGACTACCACAAAAATGACCGTGTCCTCCATGCGGTCCCAAGGGCGGAGAATAAATATCAGGTCCATTTTTTAGCTGGAAAGACATTAAAATTGCATCAAATACTTTTGTGTTGTGAAAGAAAGTACAAAGTCCTATCAGCTTGTGTCCCAGGAAAGAAAAATCATCCTTATATTTTCTGAATGAAGTCTGAAGAAAAGAAATCAGAAAGGGGAGCAAACGAGACCTACCACCAGATAATCCCCCTGGTTGCAAGAAGAGTCTCCATTTGGAATCTGGAACGGCTGTTCAAAATGAATAGCGATGGTCAGACCTCTCTGAACCAGAACATGCCAAGAGCAGTTGAGATTGGGAGGGTAGGCTTCAGGATACATGGGGGATGTGAAAACCCCTCTGTCTGCATGCAAATAGCCACCACAACCTTCACAAGAAAAAAATAAAGGGAGGTCATTTCATTTACATAGACAATAGATATTTCTTAAGGATTTTCTAAGCATAGTCAATAGAAATATGGTTTGAAACTAGGAAAAAGAGTAGGGAGTTATTAGTATTAGTATTCCAAAAAGTTCAAGGAAACATGAAATTGAAACATAATGGAATTTTTCCATGAATTTTTTGAAGGTCCCTTGTACATCAAGTGTCTACTGAGTACCTGCTATTTGATGGCCTAACCTCCTGTTAAGATTTAGGACTAGAGAGTACACAATAGGAACAAATTCCTTACTCTCAAGAATCTGACTATAGATGGGAAAACATGCTTTGAACATAAGTACAGAGGAAACAGTGATAAGTTCTTTAAAGAAAAATAAATGGTGGTTCATAGGGAGTGGTATATTGTATTGTTTGGAGAAGTGAAGGAAGGCTGAGCTATTGTCCAGGAAACATTTGAATGAAATGACAGATCAAGTGCTCTCGGACTTTGTGGGAGAAGAGTGCCCTGGGGCAGAAAAGTTGGACTTCTAGAGGTGTATCCCGTAGAGGAGAGGAGCTAGGCTGAAAACTTGGAAAGGTAACAGGGCATTGTTAAAATGGACTTTCTTTTACATAAGAAAAGGAAGACTTTGGAAGGTTTTGAACAGCAGAATGATAAAATCTAACTTAAATGTCAAAAGCTCACTCTGTCTGCAGTGCTTAGCCTAGAAGAGAAAGGACACAAAAAAGCAGAAACAGGGTGTAGAAAGAGGAGGTGATTGCCTAAGAATAAGGAGATTACAGATGCCTGGACTAGGCTGGCGGCACTGGAAGTGGTAAGAAGTGGTTTGATGCTTGCTATATTTTGAGGGTAGGACCATGGAGAATTGTTGATGGTTAGGATGCAGGGTGAAAGAAAGAGAAAAACCGGGGATGACACCAAGTGCTTTTGTTTTTGTTTCTGTGTTTTCTGCTTAAATAATTAGAAGAACATGCTTTCCACTTACTAAGACTGTGAACAGCTTTGGGAGGAGGGGTAGAAGGGTGTAGGATTAAAAATTCTACTTTATTTTTTGGACATGGAGCTGTCAAATACACACACACAATGGAGTTCTCTGAGTGGTGCAGATTTTAGCTAACACACTTAACTGCTAACCAAAAGGTTGGAGGTTTGAGTACCTAGCATCACTAGGAAGAAAAGTCTGGCAGTCTACTTTAGAATATCAACCACAGAAAACCCTGTGCAGTACAGCTTTATTCTGACACACGTGGGGTCACATTGATTCAACAGCAACTAGTGCTGAAGGCGGTGGTATGTAATGAGCTGTCAAGTATGTATGCACACACAAATATATACAATGAGAGAGTGAGAGGTTGGGAGTTGAAGGAAAGAAGTGGATGGAGCAGATTAAATCCTTGTTGTTGTTGTTGTTGTTGTTAAGTGCCGTCGAGTCGGTTCCGACCCATAGCGACCCTGTATAGGGTTTCCGAGGGTGTAAATCTTTACGGGA